CCCGGATTCCGAAATTTCTCGAAGATAAATTCTACCCATAGCTTTACTAAGTCAAATTTACAATTTGCTCAAATTTTCATGCTCAAATTCAAGGTAAAAGTCCAAAATTCCAAGTTCTAGGTCTTCCCCAAAAATCCCAAATTTATACTAATTTTCCATGTCTAAATCCATGTAAGATCACATATTTAACTCAAAAATAGGAAGAAATCACTTACCTAGTGTTGCTTGGTGAAAATCCCTCCTTGAGCTCTCCAAAATAGTCCAAGCCAAATGAAAGAAATGAAAGAAATGGGCTAAAACTCGTGTTTAAAACAATCTGTCCAGGCTTCATCGAGTTGTACCTTACGCTGTGCAGGTTGTACATCCTATTACCATTTTCCCCTGCTGTACACCTTTTATTAAAACGCCCATAACTCCTTGTGTAAATATACAAATGACAAACGGTTTGAAGATTTAGAAACTAGACTCGAAGATCTTTCATTTGATAGGTTGTACACCATATAACTTTTTATATATTCCGAGATATGAGCTTCTAAAGTAGGCTCCATGCATCAGAAAATTCTGTCGAAACTGCTCCACCAGCCATTTTCAATCGATCATAACTTTCTGATAAAATGTCCAAATTATGAATGGTTTAACTTTCTGAAAACAAGAATGCAAGGGCAACAACCTTTATGTTTTGAAAAGTTTCAGATTCCTTATAGATGTCTAGATATAAGCTTCCAAAGTAGCCTCCTCGATTGCACTATTGCTGTCCAAAACAGAAGTTGCAGCAGATTTTCAGCAGCTTTAAAGTTTCGAAATCGATCCGTTAGCCTTCCGAAATCCACCCGAGACCCTCGGTACTTCAACCAATTATACCAACATGTCCCAAAATACAATACGAACTTAGCCGAGGCTTTAAATCACATCAAACAACGTCAAAATCATGAATCGTGTTTCAATCCAAACTTTATGAACTTTGAAATTTCAAACTTCTACATTCGATGCCGAAATCCATCAAATCACGTCCGATTGACCTCAAATTTCGCACACAAGTCATATTCGACATTACGGACCTGCTCTAACTTTCGGAATTGGAATCCGACCCCGATATCAAAAAGTCAAACTCTCGGTCAAACTTCTCAAAAACCTTCAAATTTCTATCTTTAGCCAAATGACTTCAATATGACCTACGGACCTCCGAATTCACTTTCGATCGCGCGCCCAACTCTAGAATCACCATACGGAGCTATACCCAGACTCGTAATCCCAAACGAACATTGATAACCCTGAAATGCACTTCAACCCAAACTTATGAAATTCCTCCAAAATGCTAACTTCCCCAATAGGCGCCAAAACGTTCCCGGGTCTTCCAAAACCCGATCCGGACATACGCCCAAGTCCAAAATCATCATACGAACCTGTGGAACCTTTGAATCCCGATTCCGAGGTCGTTTACTCAAAAATCCAATCTTTGTTAATTCTTTCAACTTTACGCTTCCGAAATGAGAATTCTCTTTCCAAATCAACTCTGAACTTCCCGAAACTTAATTCCGACCACGCGTTCAAGTCATAATACCTAAACTGAAGCTGTTCATGGCCTCAGACTGCTGAAGGGCGTGCTATAGCTCAAAACAACCGGTCTGGTCATTACAAATTATTGATTCCCTTACCTTATCGACCCCTTCTCGCTATTGGCTAGCCGTTTATGGTATCACATAACTGCTTGCCTAACATGGCAAGCCGATTTCTTTCATTTGAACCAAATCTGGTTTGGACCTTTGCTTCTTTCCATCTATGTTCATTCTCGTCTCTTTATGGTATGAATCTCCGAGATTTTTCTCGATTCTTTACTTACCCTAAAACTAGGGTTCAGATCTTTCTAGATCTGTTATGGTTCTCCATTTTTTTTATTTTTTATTTCAAAAAATATTTTTTCCTTTAATATTTCAGTATATCTACCTATGTGCATCTTTATCATGATTTTTCGTTGATATTCCTAACTAATTTTTTCCCTAAAAATTAGGGTTTTTGATTCTTCAAAATCGAACCAAATCTGGTTCAATATTTAATGTCTCCGTTTATCTGTCTCTGTGCATCTTTATTATAGCTTTTCCTTTGATTATTTCCGCCAATTTTACTTACTCTAAATTTAGGGTTTTTGATTCTACTTTTCCTTCAATGATTCCGTCTATCTGTTTCTATGCATCTTTATTACAACTCTTGCCGTTAATTGTTGACTAATTTTACTTACACTAAACTTAGGGGGTTTTCGATTCTTCAAATCTGTTTGATTCTTTAATTGCTTGATAAAATCTCTGTCTACATGCTTATACGCGTCTCTTTACCTATGGCTTACCTTAAATAGAGTTCCGAGTTTTCTTTCCTTAAGTTAACTGTTAGATGCTTTCCTTGATTGATTATTGCCATATTTGTTTACCCTAGTCCAGTGCTATTTAAACCCTTCCCCCATTCCCCTTTAGGCAGACTAAGAACTCGAGTATTTCTCACTACTAAAACTATATACTATTATCATTCTGCTTTGATTCCTGGCTGGCTGGAAGCCAAGGCCAGAAATCTTCTATTGTTTGCTGTTGTTGATAATCATTACTGCATTACTAAACTTTTTTCTGTTTCATCTAAACTAGTAAGTTGTTGAAGCTCTTTTTTCTACTTTGTTACTCATTCAATATGTTATTGCTAATTGATTGGTTGTTTTATGTATTCTAGACATGTTTAACTCAGTAGATTAATTGATGAAATCTGCTTAATTATGTGTAACTTAAGACTGTCTTTTAATATTAAGTATGTTTTGATACCTTTCCCAAAAAAAAACTAGTTCATCATGTACACCTTAGTCTGTTGTTAAATCTGTTAACATGTTTGTTTACCTCGAAAATACGAGTAACAATTAAACTTGGTTTGTGGTTTTAAAGATATGTGATTTAGTTCAATACTAATTAATGATCAAGTTTTATGAAATAGAAACGAAAGATAGAAGTGAATCAAAACGGTATTAGTCAACAGCAATGACCTCGAGATGGTTTAGGGCAGTAAGAACAATTAAGATAATACGAACACTGTAAGCTAAGGAACAATTCTAATGAATAGCAGGCCAAAAGTAGAGAGTATATTCTTTTCACATAATTTATTTAAAAATTAAATAAATTCAAGCGGCTAAATAAGATCTTACATAAAGTATATAAATTATTTATAAGGTAAGAAAAACTTAAATAATTAGTAAAAATATTTTAATAACAAGAATAATAATTTCATATTAATATTGATAAATCGGGCAAACGAATATTATATACGTAAATATTACAACAACATTCAGACATAATGGGTTCAAGCAAATAAGAAAATATTTTTTTGAGTAATATTTGAATTGAGTGCAGTTAGTTTAAGTTTGAAAGCATAACATAATTTTTTGAAAATGCAGTCAAATTTAAAAAATAGAATAATAAAACTTATTTGAATTTGATAAAGTTTTTAAATTTTTATCTATATTATATTAGAATGAGTGTGGTAAAAATAGATATTAAATTCAAACAAGCTAATAAAAATCTACATGACAATGTAATAATATTAGTTATTGAATAATATAATATCAAAAATAAAAAATAAATAGAGAAAAAAATTTAGATTTTTTATTATAGAAAAAAGGTAAAACTTATTTAAATTTGAGATGAGAAAGTTTTTATATCATGATAAGAAAATTCATAATATGAATAGGTCCACGTAACTCAAGTCTAATAGATAAAATCAAAAACTAAAAATATTGAATAATAGAAATAAATTAGAGATAATATGAGGATATTTATAAATCATAAGTTTAGAAAATAAATACATTAAATATACAATACTTAAAAAATTAGCAAAATTATGTTAAATTATTAAAAATTTACTATTAGAAATTAAAGGGAAAGGCTAATTGAATTTAGCCGCTTGAATTTATTTAATTTTTAAATAAATTATTAGAAATGTTGTTTTTGACGTTGCAGCTAATTTGCATATTATGATATATGTCATACTTTTCGTATTATTCATGGTTGAATTATAATTTATAAATATTTTAAATAGATTATTTGTTATAATTTTGTGATTTTAATAATTTTGTGATTTTAATGTAATTTTTATATTTATTTTTTATTTAATACTATCTTAAAATTCTTGAAATTAGTAAAATTTAAAGATCCGTAGGACTTACGCCCCATGTCTCAGGGCTTACGCCTCGCTCTGGTCAGATGGGTGTAATGAACGTTCTCGCTCATCCGTCCGCCCTCGCCTATTTAAAACATATATATAATATATCTAGTACCCTATATAATATTAGTGCAATTATATATATATATATATATATATATATATAATAGGTTATGCACTACGAGATTTGAACAATAATTTCATATCCTACTTCATAACTAAATGTTATATAATTTTTATCTAAGAGGTTTATATTTTAAGGTTATTTGCACATGATTCAAACAACCTACATCGCAATTTAATATATTTTGTGTTCGCGCATCGCGCGGGTACTAATACTAGTAAAACTTAGTAATAAGACTAGCATATATCAATGGATTTTCACTTACACCACCAATGTATTCAAATTAATCATTTTAATACCTTATTAAATAATAAATAATAATAAAGAAAAAAAAACATGGGGGTGGATCTGTAAAGTTTTGATTACCAAGGGAGTACATGGAACAAAATGTACAGTATTATGCTTCAATTTCCTAATCTGGAATTCTAGATCGGGTAAAACCTAGCATAGCAAAATCAGACCCGATTTCTACTCAATTTCACTCTATAGATCTCCAAAATTCTTCATAATTTTCACAAACTATTCATGCTTAGCTTAATTTATGCAGGATTTAATCTTATACGCGTCGAAACAAATCCAAATTGAACAAAAAAAACTATCATCAGCTATTTTTTTGAATCGGGGTTTTATTTGAGTTTTTGAAGTCTAATGTGTTGATCTGTGAGTTTTGTTTGCGATTTGATTGAAGAAAATGGCGCAAGGAGGACCAAATATGGACCAATTTGAAGTTTATTTTCGTAGAGCGGATTTGGATCAAGATGGAAGAATCAGTGGTGCTGAAGCCGTTGCTTTTTTAAAAGGATCTAATTTACCTCAACCTGTTCTAGCTCAGGTAGCCTCAATTTACTTGACTATGTACTTCTCTTTTTGCTGTTGCTATCTTAATGTTTATAGTTGTACTTGTGCTTGAATTTGTGTATCGTAATGATCTCAAAGGACTCAAAACACTTAAATAAATTGCCCGAGCAATATAAATGATCTCAAAGAACACAATTGAATCGATCGAGTGTAAAAAAAATACATTTACTTGGTAATGTTAATAATTGTAGCATGAATTATAAGGGATTCAGTTATTCACCTTATTATAAACCTACTGACCACATTTAAACAGTAAAATAGTGGGAAAAATGATGTGCTGACTATGATGAAGAATCATGGCGGTTATTGGGTTCTTAGTTGACATGATAAGATGGACTTCGATCACCAATCACCAGCAGTGCGCCGGTGCCTCAATAGATTCTAAGAGATAAGTTACTGAAGGTAAGAAAAATGAGGAGAGAGGTCGAGAATGAGGATAACAGAGATAGAATAGGAGAAAGGTTAAGAGAAGAACGGGAATTGGTTGGCATTCTTGATAAGTCATCCGACTTTTTGACTGTGGTGGTTGACTAGTTTTTGGTTAACTGTTTGCCAGGGGTTTAATTACTGTTTAATAGTAAGATTTCTGCAGCTGGTGTGTTTAGAATGGTAGGATATTCTAGACAAGTTCTTTCTAGGTAGTAGAGTTTTCTTTCAAGCTACTTTTAAGTTTTATGCTGTGATTATGCAGATTTTTTTCTTTGACAAACTTGCAGGAGGACTGGAAGTTTTACTTTGCAATCTCTATATTTCTATAAAATGTTAAGTTAATATATTTCCATTTCTCTCTTTTACTATGCTTTTCGAACGTGTCTTTCCATTCTGTAAATCTCACAAGTCTCCTAGGATAAGCTAGTTATGACTAGTTCTCTTCAAGTTTCTACAAATTTTACCTCTTCCATGGTAAATATGATTTCTTCAACTGTGCGTGCACATTGTGTTTCTTCGATTGCAGATATGGACACATGCTGAACAGAGCCGTACTGGGTTTCTTAGCCGACCAGAGTTTTATAATGCTCTTAAACTTGTAACAGTGGCACAGAGTAAACGAGATTTAACACCAGATATTGTGAAGGCGGCTTTATATGGTCCTGCTTCTGCTAAAATCCCTGCTCCACAGATTAACCTTGCAGCGATCGCTTCTCCCCAGTTAAATTCAGTTGGTGCTGCACCTGCACAGCAGATGGGTGCTGGAGTACCAACAGCTTCTCAAAATCACGGCATCAGAGGACAGCTACCTCCTACAACAGGTATGAACCAGCAATATCTCACTTCTCAAGCCAGCCACTCAGTGAGGCCACCTGTTCCAACTGCAGCTACTGCATCACGTCCCCAGCAATCTCTTGCTGGTATGGATTTCCCCAGGGGTGGTAGTTTGACAGGTCCTGGTCTTCCAAACTCAAACATTTCAAATGACTATCTAGGGAGCAGACAAGCAGCAATATCTGCTAGACCTACTATGCAGCCTCCCAATAGAGGAATGAGCCCTTTGGTTCCTCCAGTTACGCAAACTCTTCAGGGATCTCTTTCACTACCTTCCATGACAGCAGCTAATACAAAAGCTACTGGAAGTTCTGGAAATGGTTTTGCTTCGGACACAATGTTTGGAGGTGAAACCTTCTCTGCAAGCCAATCTGTACCCAAGAAGTCATCGTCTACTCCAAACTTAAACTTTTCTGTGAATAGTGCACCAACCTCTTCAGCTATGGTTCCAGTAACCACTGAGTCTCAAACTTCATCCAAGCCTGACCCTTTTGCTGCATTCAATACTATTACAAGGCAATCTCCTGCAAATCAGCAGCAAGTAACCCCATCTGTGTCCAAACCTAATCAACAGGTTTTTGGTCAGAATAGTTTGCCAGTTTCATCATCTGGAACTCCAGTGGGTTCTGTCCATCCAGCTCCTGAGCAGTCACAAGTTCCTTGGCCAAAAATGACTAGAGCAGGCGTTCAGAAGTATGCGAAAGTGTTTATGGAGGTGGATTCAGATAGAGATGGAAAAATCTCGGGCAACAAGCACGAGATTATCTTGAACTGGAGACTGCCTAAGAGGTAAATTAACTCTTTTTAGCTAAGCCTTAACTGTCTTTTTTTTTTTACTGTCTGACTAAGCTAGCTGTCATTCAGACTTCTTTATTCTTTTTACTTTTCTTTTGTACTTATGTCACTTTTCNGAGGATGGTGTTTACCATATCAAAAACTAAAATTGTGAAAGTTTGAAAGAGTAATTTATTTTCTCGCTTGGACAAAAAAAAGTGGGAGTGGCCCCATGGAGGACAAGATGCGGGAGTCGAGGCTGAGATGGTTTCGGGCACGTGGAGAAGAGAAGCGCAGATGCTCGTGTTAGGATGTGTGAGAGGTTGGCCATGACGGGTGAAGAGGTAGAGGTAGGATAAAGAAGTAGTGGGGAGAGGTGATTAGGCAGGACATCGCTGCTTCAACTCATTGAGGACATGACCCATTGTAGGAGGGTGTGGATGTTGAGAATTAGGGTAGAAGGCTAGTAGGTAAGCGAGAGTTCCCCTTCGATCTCTTTGTTTATCTTATTTCCCTGTTACTACTATTTGATGCTACTTTTTCTTTTTCGTCTTCACCTTTTTTCCCCTTTTTCCCTATCGCCGTTTGTCTTCTTCTTCTTTCTTCTTTCTTCTTCCTCTTTCATCTTCTTTCCTTTTTTCCTTTTTCACCTTTTCTTGAGCTCATGGTCTATCAGAAACAGCTTCTCTACCTAGTGAGGTAGGGGTAAGGTCTGCATACACTCTACCCTCCCCAGACTCCACTTGTGAGATTATACCGGGTATTATGTTGTTGTTGTTGTTGGACAAGTTTAAAACTTGACAGAAGTCCATTTTTAAACTAATTCATGCAAATTTGGGGTCCAGAGATTCTTTTGTGTGTTCTAATCATTCTTTTTTACCACCTTGGTCATCTTTGATCTGTGAGACACAACCACACATGTAAACATCCTTATTCTTGGTTCACATGCTCTAAATCGGATTGCTGTCACAAATTTCATTGGAGAGTGATCAGAGATGTTTTATTTAGGTACCTCAGAACTTTTGGATTATTTTTCCAAATTGTACATGTGATACTGATGAAGTGTCTACAAGGAAAGTTTCATTTTGGAGAATTCTCTAATTTTGAGGTTTTGGAATTTGGCTGTCCTGACCTAGATACATAATCACTTTCTATTTTCGCACTTACTTTTTTTGCTAGATTAATACATTGGGACTCCAAATTATTTCCCCTAAAAGCATGCCAAACCGTGTACCTAGTTGTATTTTTAAGTGTCATTTGGAGCTTGTTGCACGTTCGTAATGCTTCATAAATTAGTAATATCGTTTTTGGTCTCTGTCAGAGGTCTTGAAGCAGGTATGGGACTTGGCTGATCAAGATAATGACAGCATGCTCTCTTTGAGGGAGTTTTGTATAGCTCTGTATTTAATGGAACGATATAGGGAAGGCCGCTCTCTTCCATCTACACTACCAAATAGCGTTATGCTTGATGAGACTTTGCTGGCCCTGGCAGGTCCGCCTGTTACTTATGGAAGCACTGGCTGGAGCCCTGCTTCTGGTACTACCTAAACAGATTTTGGATGTTTTAAGTTGTCAACCACTTTGTTAGTATACTAAAACTTTCATCACTCATTTTATGTTCAGGCTTAAGACCACAAGGGTTGCCTGGTGTACAGCCAGGTGCACATCCTGGATTAAGGCCTCCTACACAGGGGGCATTCCCTCAGCCTGACCGATCGATGCAATTTAATCAGCAAAATGCTAGAGCAACATCAATGGATAATTCTCATATGGACCAACTAAGTAATGGGGAGCAGAATACGCTGGAGCCAAAGAGAGAAGACGGCGTAGCAGGAGATGAAAAGGTATTATTTACTTCATAAGGTAGTTCATCTCCTCTCTAGGTTTTTTCTGTAACTGCGTTGCAGTTATCTTGAGTTCTATTCCCCGATACAATTTATTATTTACCTACTGAATGAAAGAAAGATACTGATTACAACTCCCTCACCTCGAGGGCATTGTTAACCTCAAGACTGTCCCGGAGTAAAATCCAGGCAGGTGGTGATTGCGTGCAGCTATATGGGAATAATGATTCCACCTCACGATAATAAAATCAAACTATTGACAGTAGTGCGGCCTCTCCTAGTTTCCCCCTGCCCAGAAACCAAAACGTCTCTAACAACTACTCCCTCCGGTCCACAATAAGTGGCCATTTTACCTTTGGGGCACTCCCATTAAGAAAATACGAACTCCTAGAGAAAAAAAGATGTATTGACTAAATTAACCTTAATTAATTGTTACCTTGACACATTGGAATATGTAAATTTGGGCAAATTTTGGAAAAATAAAATTAATTCCTTCTTGATGACGTAAATGGACACTTATTTTGGACCAAAATAAAAAGGTAATATGGTCACTTATTGTGGAGCGGAGGGACTACTATTAAGCTCTCACAATGCCATGCCATCTGATACATTTTCGAGATTTAGTTGATTTAATTGTTACAAATTTAGTCAGCTAATTAGCTATGAAGAAATCTAGGATGTGGACATATCCAGGTTGGAAGCCGTTTGTGTGATGAAAACTTGGATGCTATCTACTTCATGATACTGTTGATGTAGTAAACCTAATTCCTTTGTTTGATAAGGATGAAAGCAAGGACAATGTGCTTCTGGATTCCAGGGAGAAGCTTGAATTCTACCGCACAAAAATGCAGGATCTTGTGAGTAGTTGCCGCCTTTAATGTACAGCATTGTCGCATTTCTATTATTTCCAGTTGCTTTTGCTTCACTGTCACCTGCTCTTTACTTTATATTTTATCTTTATATTTTTTTCAATCTCATTCATTTTCTTTTGTTCATTGGATTTTCCTCCAGGTTTTGTACAAAAGCAGATGTGATAATCGACTTAATGAAATCACTGAAAGGGCATTGGCTGATAAACGCGAGGTACCACCTTAGCCCTTTGAAGTTCATAATTTGTTGCTTTCAATTTATTCCTTATTATGCACTTTTCCAATCGATGGGTCTCTTAGGCTGAGATGCTTGCCAAAAAATATGAAGAGAAATACAAGCAAGTTGCAGAAATTGCTTCTAAACTGACAATTGAAGAGGCATCATTTCGTGATACTCAGGTGAGATTTTGCTCCATATATTCTTTCGAATGTTTACTCTAGTTATATATCCAAGCTCTTTCAATTGTGTTCTCTAGTTATATATCCCAGCTCCATAAATCAAAAGATTGAGTTTATCACTATACGATGCTATACACATAGGAATATAACCATTTTCTCCTTGCAACTCAATGAGTAGACTTCTTCCTGGTTTCTTCTATTAATCCAATGCTTTATTGTAAAGCTGGCTTGTTTATGGGCTTTTTCTGGCTTCTCATTTGTTTTACATATTCCTCTATGGATTATGGATTCTTGGCTTCTTGCAAGTATTAGCGCTTGTTGATTTGTTGGATGCTGGAGCCATATGAGTTTTCATTTTCTTTGAGATAAAAGAAAAAAGTTCCTTTATTCAGGAGAGGAAGCTGGAGTTACAACAGGCAATCATTAAAATGGAACAAGGTGGCAGCGCTGATGGTATTCTTCAGGTGAAGATAACAGAACTTATTAATTTGATTTCTCAGGTAAAATATAACGAAATGTAAGTTTCGTTAGGAACTTATGCTATGTTTTTGCGCTTTTGGTTTTCTAGGTCCGTGCTGATCGCGTACAACATGATCTTGAGGAGCTACTGAAGGCCCTGGCCGATCGTTGCAAGAAACATGAGCTTAATATTAAGTCAACTGCTTTAATTGAACTCCCCCCTGGTAAGTTGTTTTTTCCCTTGTTTTGCTGCGTCTTGTCAATTTGTTCCCTTTTGTTCTGTTTCTACGGTTCCCACCGAGTCACTTTTCTTCTCTGAACATCCTACTCTGGGTAAGGAGTCAATCCAAACAATTTCATCTGCATATTGTGCAGAATGTCACTTGAGTTTTTGAGGTCTTCCATTTTCTGTGTTTCTTACTCAGAAAATACAATTGGAACTCATTCTTCCTCAAGTGCTGGAGTTATTACTGAAAATTGATTCGATTGAATATGTTTCAGTGGGTTTTCAATTACTGTGTTAATGTTGTTTATTAAATCTTGTTCTTGGAAATTTGATGATAGCTGATTAATTTTAAATTATTTGCATCACAGTTTATTATATTTTCCATCTAACTTCTTTTACCTCTTTGGTCCGGTATAATCTTCTCAAGGCTGGCAACCTGGAATTCCGGAGATATCAGCTGTTTGGGATGAAGATTGGGATAAATTCGAAGATGAAGGTTTCTTTTCTTGAATATATCCCTCTGTCTTTTCCTGTTCTTCATCAGTTATCTTTCTGACACCATTGATGAATAAGTTGCGAAGTGTTTGATGTATGTGCATCCCTATGTCACTTTCTGCAGGATTTTCTTTTGATGTAGCTGCGCCTGCAAATTCCAAATCCACATCTAATCAGAAGGAAAGTTCTCCAATTCATGGAGATTCCCCTGATTCCATGTCAAATGCTGATACCAAGTCAGAAAACTATTCTGCTAAAGGAAATAATAACAATTTTGAGACTGATTTGATGTATATGCATAGCGACGAGGAGTCAAAAAGTCCACAGGGAAGTCCAAGAGAACAGACAGCATTTGATAGTCCATCCGGTGAATACTCTGATAACCATTTCGGCAAGAGCTTTAAAACCGAATCTGAAACTGATAGGTATAATTTGGCTATTTCGTGCAATATCTTCCATCTTCTGTATTTCTCTATTTCGATTAGTTCCAAGTTTTAATAGTTTATGAAACTTTTGGGACTTTGATGTCCAGCACAATACCCGTTTAAATCCAGGGAGACATGCTTGATGGACATTTCACTAGGTCTGAATCTTTTGGCCAGTTTGTTTGACCACTGCTCACCAGTGTCCTCGATGGATGCTTAGCATGTCTTGCATCTGTCTCATTAGTTTATAAGAGTTAAAAACAGAATATCGCATTTTATGTTCTGAAAAGTAAAGATGAATGTACTGTTAATTAATCATACCTCCATCTAGATATAAGCTACGAATCTCACCTCCATTTTGGTTTTGAGTGTCAAGAAAACCTCCTTGTTTTATCTCTGTAATTTTCTTCATTCAGCACATTTCCCATAAAACGATGTTCTCCAAAAACAGATCCCATCCACGGTAAAATAGAAAAGCATCCCTAGCTTCTCTCATTCTTGTATCACCAGAGTTCCAAGAGGACTCACATAAAGAAAAGAGGTTCTGAAACAAGGAACTTTCAAATCGAGTCAGGTATTCAAACGAACAGTTTCAAACCCAAAGACATAGGTTTCTTCAACAATAGTCAATCTTAAAAAGATGATAAACAAATAAATCGAACAAATACTAGCAAACAGTTTAAGAACTCGAATGATCCCAATAGATATAGGGTTTTAACAACAATTGAGTTTAAAGTATGATTGACAAATAAATCAAACA